ATCTCATCAGCTCATTGTCATCAACATCATCAGGATCATCAACATCATCATCATCATCATCGAGACACCATCATCAGCAACATCAGCATCATCAACATCATCATCATCGGGACACCATCATCACCACCATGGCCATCATCATCACCGTCAGCATCATCATCATCGTCAACGTCATCATCATCATCGGGACACCATCATCATCACCACCATCACCATCATCATCAACATCATCGAGATCATCATCATCATCATCATCATCATCATCATCATCATCATCATCATCATCATCATCATCATCATCGGGACAACGACGGGACACCGGCGGGACACCGGCGGGACACCGCGCGGCACCGGCCCCCGGAAAGGAAATATTTGGTCGGGCCGCGCCTCAGCTGGAGGCGGGACACCGGCGGGACACCGCGCGGCACCACCCCCCGGAGAGAAATCATTTGGTCCGGCCGCGCCTCAGCCGGAGGAGACTTTCTTCTCGCCCGCCCACGCAGCTTCGCCTCGCCCGCACGCACGGCACGCACGAACACGAAACCAAAACCGATTTCCCGGTAGGGGGGCTCTCCGTTCCACTTCGATCTCACTCCTTCACCTCCGATCTTCCAAGTGAATTGTTGTTTCATGGGTTTCTGAGTGGTCCCGTTCCCTCTTCATCCACCTCCTCCCCCCCCTTCCTCCTCGTTACCCTCGCCGTGGTCGTCATGGCCGTCACCGAGGTCTGCGCGACCCAGGCTGGGATGTGCGACGTGTTCGGGCCTCCGATGTGCGGCAGCCCATTCCAGAAGTACCAGGTTCATCCTCCTTCAGGAGGAGGAGGCGGGAGAGGAGGAGAGGGAGGAGGAGGAGGAGGAGGAGGAGGAGGAGGAGACGGAGTGGGAGGCTGGGGCAGTGGATGAAGGACAGGGGGAGAAGGAGGAGACGCTCTGGTATTGTCGTGCTGGTTTGCTCCGTCTGGGCGCCCTGAGCACTCGCTCCACGGCTATCTCCGCCTCGAAAGCACTGCCAGAACGCGCGCCAGGAGAGGTCCAGGGACGATCTGGAGGGACAGAAGGCCGACGGAGAAGAGGTGGGCAAGGAGAAGGAGGCAGGGGGGAAGTGGGAAGAGAAACAGAAGGGGTGGGACGGAAAATCTGAAAGACACCAGCCGTGCACGTCAGAGGTGCGTCGGCAAGAAAGTGAAGCGTAAACGATATGGTGAAAATACGCGCGTGTTAAGCATGGTAATTTGGGGAGGAGGAGGAGAAGAAGGCAGACACACACAAACCGTGCACGTCTGAGGTGCGTTGGCAACAAAATGGAGCGTAAACGATTGGGTGAAAGTACGAGCGTGCTAAGCATGGTAATATGGGTGGTAATATAGGAGGAGGAGGAGGAGGAGGAGGAGGAGGAGGAGGAGGAGGAAGAGGGGGAGGAGGACCATTGTAAACCCAAGACGCCCCACCGATGATGCAGTAAACCCCCGAAATTCCCTCTTCAGAGGTCCCTATAAGAATGCATGTTCACTGCGGGAAATGTTCCTTGGAAAACGAATGTGCCAAACCTCATTATTGGGACGCCAGCGCCGCGAGTCAATGTTACCGCTGCGTCCTCACGATCCTGATTCGAGTCAGAACATCGTTCCTGGGACTCAACACCGCGAATCCATTGTTGCGCCTTGACGAGCTTAAATCCTGCCAGGATACCGTTCCTGGGACATGAGCCATAAGACCATGTGGAATTGTTGTAAACGTGTACAACACATGTGCGCGGCACTAAATCGAGGGCCACATTTTAATAATGAACGGCCCTCCACCCGCGAACATTTTCAAAAGGAACCGCCCTCCACCCGTGAATATATTGCACGCTCATAGGGCGAATGCGAGCGGCGCTAAGGCGAGAAACACATGTTGAAAAGGAACCGCCCTCCAACCGCGAAGGTCATGCAAACGTTAGAGACGAATGTGCGCGGCGCGAAGGCGAGAGCCACGGCTTGATGACGGCCCACCCTCCATCAGTGAAATGATTGTGATATTTGATCTTCAGCCTCAGGCGAAACGCCCGGCTCGCCTTACCGACAAGTCTCGGGGTGGGACATGATGAGTGATTTGCAAGGAAAGGGATGGAGGAGGAGGAGGAGGGGGGAGATGGAGCACAGAGGTTTCAAAGACAGATTGTTCATTGCTTTGCGACGCCTTGCCATGCGTCGACTTCCTGACGCCCGAACTTGTAGGTACAAACCAGTACGAGAAGGAGAAGGAAGAGAAATTGAGCACGAGACGAACAGGATGGGGATCGAGGCCAGTGTGTGTCGTGCCCGGCTCTACTAGAGCGACCTGAGCGCGCGCTCCCGCTCGTTCTTTGAAGTCTGGGGGCGGGGAGTCAAAGGGAGGAAAGACCACCCGGACCGGACAATTGTCGTTTACTAAACGGCCCTGGGCGTTTACTAAACAGCCCTGCCCTGTTTGATTCCTTCTTTGGGTGCGTTTACTAAACGGGCTTCGCGTGTCGGGGTGGTTATTATCGGGGTGGATGTTCTGCCCCCTAGGGAGGTGGGTCGGCTCGGTGGGCATGATGCGCCCGATGAGGAGGGAGCTGTCGTGATGGGCAAATTGTCCACCACCACTACTATACGTAGGTCGGGGGAGAAGGAAGGATGAGGAGGTCCTCCTCCTCCTCATCCTCCTTTCCCTCCTCCTCTTCCGCCTCCTCTTCCTCCTCCTCCCCTTCCCTCTCCTACAGATGGTGGCGGTCTTGGAAATGGGCCCACCATGTCACTGACCTTCTCTTGTCGGGGCCGAGTGGCCCAGCGGCCCCGCTGACAGATGGCTTGCCTTCTGTGTGGGGGGGTTCTTCGAGGCCCGTCGCGGAGGGGAGGGGGAGGAGGAGGGTCCTTCTAGTGCCTGCAGCCGCCGTCGACGGAGACTCGTCGGACCAAACATTGATTCGGGACTGGATAGACCTCCTACCCTGACACGTCGATTAGTGAATTGTCCGTTTCCGGCACTCGAGAGGGCGCCGCGGCCGTTATTTTCCAGGCGTGCGCCCGCCAGGTTTGGGCCCGAAGTCGTTTTCATTAAACCACGTTTTACAAAAGGGAGGTCTGTCCATCCCCGATTGATCGCCTATCGGGTCTCGCCCGCCCGCTGGGGCACGTGTGGGCGGCATCCGCCGTCCGAGGCGCCCTTAAAAACACAGCTCCTGCCCGCATGCGTCCCATCTCCAACTTGCCGCAGACCTTGCATCTCCCGTGTCGGGGGGGGTGAGGGGCTGCCGCCTGCCGGTACCAGGTGTTCAAGAGCAAGCAGACCGTGTACCTCTTTGGCATCGACAGGGTGGCCAAGGAGCGGGCGCGGATGGCCCAGCACACGTTCTGCTATGTGTGCTCTCTGCGTGCTTCGAGACGGGCCGTTTGACAGGTGGGTGCGCAAGATGCGAGGTTGGAGCCTCCCTGGGCCATAGCACACGAGCTAATACACGCCTCGTTGGATACGGGTTTTTCCCCGACGAGGTGTTCCCAAAATATTCCTAGCTTCTATTGTGCAAGATGGCGCATGGCGATTGCACTCGTGGGCCGGGTTCCTTGGTTACGCCACTTCCCAGGCCCTCAAGGATGTCCACCCCCTCGTTATTCGAGGACCTCCCCGTGGAAAGCAGCGCAATGCAGTACCGACGCAATGCAGAGGAATTCGCAGCAATGCGAAGCAACACATGGCAACGAAACGCAACGCAAAGGGAAGGACAGCGACATTGAGCGAACCTCTGCAATGCAAAACAAGGCACGGCAAAACATTGGAATCCTATTCAATATGGCACAGCCATATGAGTTCAACCTACGTTGAAAGCGCCACAACAAGACGCAGCGAAACGATGAAACGCAACGGAACTTCATGCCTGGCAAAGCGAGCCGAAACAATGCAAAGCGAAGTCAAGCCTTGCGAAGTGAGTAATGCATCCTGAGCAATGGAATGCGTATGAGTGCACTGCGACGCGCTGCACCGCAAGCGCAAGCAACGACCAAATCGTTGCCAGCTCGTTCCGAGCGCCCGCTTGCCTGAGGCTTGAACGCGAGCGTGTCTTCACCTCGCCACCAGCTCAAAGAGAATACCCTGCGACGTACCCAACCCTTTCTATACACGTGGTGGTTACATTCGGGACCACTCAATGCTGACGGGCATGCTGAAAAACCCGCAGTGCGGAAGAAGAGCACCCATCAGTGAACTCAGAGGAGCGCAGCAAGAACAGCGGCAGCGCGTAAGACGTACCTCCGCTGGGCCTCAAAAAAATTGTCAGTCGGGGTCACGCCTGGTCCACCGACGGGGGCAGGGGCAGGGCGGGCGAGAGGCACCCCGCACTCTCCCAGGCGCGGCCGCGCCTCGGGGCGGCGACATACTCTCGGAGGGCGTGGGACCTGCTGGCCTGCTGGGCTTCTCGCTTGTCCCGCCCACGCTCCTTGCCCTTTCTGCCCTCGCACGGCCGCTGCGGCGTCCTCGGCCGGAGCCTCGTGCCCCCCCACAGCGCGCCAGAGGCAAACTCGGCGTGGGCCCCATCCCCCCTGGCAACGACGCCAGGGGCGGCCGCAGGACGCAAGAGCCTTGGCCGTCCGCTCGCAAACCGTTACAACGCCACCGGACCAAGAGCTCCAGGACTTGGGGCCATGTGTGGGCCAGGGAAGGGAGGGGGATTCGAGCGTGGCCTCGATTGATATGATGAGGTGCAGTCCTTCCGAGCCAGGGGGGCCCTGACTGGATAACCGCGCGGAGGCCACAGGACACGGGGAGGGCAATCCAGCGGGCCCCCACCCCACCGGAGGCTGGGGCAGGTCCCGAGAGGCCCCCACGGCCCGGAGCACCCCATCACGAGGCCCAGAAGGCACCAGCGGCTTCGGAAGGGAGGGAAACCCTGGGGGCACCTCGGGCCAGGCACACTCCCGGCCACCGCGAGATCCGGGGCTGGACCCGCCGCTGCGTGCCGCCAGGAGTACAGCGTCCTCCGCATCCCCCGTGAGAACGCAGGCGGGGCTCCTCTCCATCTCGCCCCGTCACCGCCTCCGTCTGCACTCCTCCCCTCCTCTCCTCTCGCATCTCCCATCCCTTGCCCTCATCTCCTTTTCCCTGCCCTCCTCTCCCCGCCTCCTCTCCTCACCCCCTTTGCCCGGCCACGGAGTGAGGGAAACGGTGCCCCTTAGTCGCGCGGTTCCCAATTGCGATCTGAGGATAGGACATCGTCCGAATCGAGGTTGGAAATTCACCATCATCATCACAAGCATCGTCAGAAGCATCATCAGCAGCATCATCATCATCAGCAGCATCATGATTAGCATCACCATCAGCATCATCATCAGCAGCAGCCTCATTATCAGCATCATCATTTTCATCATCGTCATCAGCGACAGCAGTAACAGAAGCATCAGCATCAGCATCATTACATTCATCATTATCAGCATCATCATCGTCATCGGAATTGTCAACATCATCGTCGGCATCATCATCAGCAGCAGCATACGTATCAGCAGTCTCACCTCCACCATCACCACCACCACCACCATCAGCATCATCTTCAGCAGCAGCAGTAACAACATCATCCTCATCATCATCAGCAGCAACACACTGCCAGCACGAATCATTATCATCATCGTCATCAGCAGCATCGTCATCAACATCAGCATCAGCATCAGCGTCGTCACCATCTTCATCATTATAACAGTCACCATCACCATCCTATCCATCAGCATCATCATCAGCATCGTCATCGTCATCATCAGCATCGTCATCATCGTCATTGGCATTGGCAGCATCATCATCAGCATCATCATGTTCAGCATCAGCAGCATCATCATGTTCAGTATCATCAGCATCATCATCAGCATCATCATCATCATCATCATCATTATCATCATCGTCATCATCATCATCATCATCATCATCATCATCATCATCATCCGTATCCTCCTCGTTATCATCAGCAGCAGAATCCCTGTCCCTCTCTCTCTCTTTATCTCTCGTTCTCGCTCGTCCCCTCTCTCTCTCTCTCCCTCCCTTCCTCCCTCCCTCCCTCCCTCCCCTCTCTCTCTCTCTCTCTCTCCCTCCTCTCTCTATCTCTATCCCTCTTCACAAACAGCTGGTTGTGAGTGCTACTTTCCCCTCTGCCGCGGCAGCGGCCGAGCACTGGTCTCCGTGGAGCAGGCGCCAGAGTGGCGCGGACCTCTGCCTGCGACCCAGGCGGCCCCTCCAGCTCGGCGAACTTTGCGAGCGCCCCGCCACGGTCTCTCTCTCTCTCTCTCTCTCTCTCTCTCTTTTTCTCGCTCTCTCTCTCTCTCTCTCTCTTTTTCTCTCTCTCTCTCTCTCTCTCTCTCTATTATCCCCCTTCTCTTCCTCACTCGCATCCTGGACAGGCGCAACGGCTGAGTGTTGCCCCGTCCCGCGGCTTGAATGCGGACGGCCCGCTTCAGGCTCATGCTTGCTCCTCCCTTGCCTCCTCCCTCCTTCTTTTCCCCTCCTCGCCCCTGCCCCACCCTAGCTCCTCAGCGCCACCGCCCCCGCCCAATCCCCTCCTCTTCCTCCCCCCCCCTCCTCCTTCTCCGCCCCCCTCCCTCATCCTTGTCCTCCTCCTCCCCTTCCCTCCCCCCTCCGCGGACCCTGCTCCACCCTCCCACCGACCTTGTAGGTGTCAGAAATCTCCGAGGAAACTTGTCTTGCTCCTCCCTCCCCATCCTCCGCCTATGCCCCGTTCCCTCATCAGCAGGCTCCTAACCGTGTGAGACAAGAGCTCAGGGAGCTCATCGGTGAACGCACGCCTGTGCCTGGCTGTTATGACGATGCGGACCATGCTCGAGATGCGCGCGTTGGGCGTCGCACAAGTGGCGCTGCACGACAAATGGCGGCGACGATCTCCATCGCGGATGCTCTTGGCCTGTCTGACGCGGTGGCCTCGCCCAGCGGGCGGCAGGCCTTGGGCTCGCGCGCGCCAGCGTCGCCGACGTCGAGTTGGCCAGGGCGCTGCCGCCCTGAGAGGGAGGAGACGGCGCGCAGGATGGAACCCACCGCTACCCCCCGCGCCGTTGGCTCAGCGCGGGTGGGAATGGCGGAATCCTTGTATGTTGAGTCGCTGGAAAGGGGGCAGGGCCCGTTCCGCGCCCGTGTTCTTCGCGTGCCACCCGCGCCTCGGCGACGCCCTCGTCGTCGCGGGGCGCGGGCCCGCGCGCTTCGCAGGCGCCGTCGCCGAGCTGGCCAGGGCCCCGCCGCCCTGAGAAGAAGGAGGCGGCATGCAGAAAGAAACCCGCCGCGACCCCCCGCGTTGCTCTGTCGGCGCGGGAGGGAGGCGAGGGAACCCCGTCGAATCGCTGGAGGGCGCAGGGCCCGCTCCACCACGCCCGTCGACTTCGATTGCTACCTGCAGCGGAGCGGCGCCGAGAACGTCGCGGGCCGCGGGTCCATGCACTCCTGTTTCGCCGTCTTCTTGGCGGCCAGGGCCTCGCCACCCTGAGAAGGAGGAGACAGCGCGCAGGACGGAACCCGCTGAGACCCCCCGCGCAGAGGGCCGGGGTATCCTTGGATCTGCCCCTGGAGAGGCGCGCGTATCGATGCTCGCGGTGGCACTATGAGCGTAAAATATACCGGCCGAGCGTGGCACTTTGTGACCTTGAACGCGAGTGTCTCCTCGATATTTGCCGATCTGCTTGCGACTGAGGATGAAGGCGCCAGGTCAGAGTTGTTTGATAAAGCTGATGCTATACTTGTGCAGGAGACGCATCTGTGGGACAGGGAATTCGAAGAATAGAATGCGAGACTCGGGCCGCTAGGTTGGAATTGCCATATCGTTCCGGTTGTTGACTGTTTTGTGGGACGCAAAGGTAACGGAAGTGGCGGGATGATGCGCGCATGCTCTCAGCTGCATGGCTTGGGAGTTGCGGAAGGAGTTGATAGCATCATCGTACTTGGGAGGGCAACTTGCTCGTTGGACTCAGGTTTCTCCATTGCTGGCGCGCCCTTGGTCAATGTGCATTTGATCCACGAGATAGGTCTCGCCGCGGCCAACTTGGAGATGCTGCACTTCTATGATGAGTGCGCGGGGAAGGTCGCACGGCCTTTCACCACTGCTGGCGACTTCCAACGCGACCCGTCTGAATTGAGAGATGCCTGTGTGATGGACTGGTTTGATGCTGTTATCGCGGCGCCGTCTGTGGGCACATGTGCCCCCGCCGGGCGTGCCATCGATTTCTTTCTTGTTCCCGATGGGCTGAGCGCACGCGCTGCCGATGTCTGTCACGAAGTTAAAGCGCCGCTTAGTCCGCAAGCTGCAGTGCGCCTGGAGATCAGATCGCGCGTCGGTAGGCCGAACATGCGCGCCATGCCTGTGCCTCGTCTTTTTCCTGCTGTTCGTTGCGACAGTTGTTCCAGGTTTGACTTCGGGCCCTTTTGGGAACGCGTTCGGGGCGCGTTGTCGAATGGAGTCGCCCCCCAGGAACAACCCCCCAGGGGCGGTCCTCGCCCGCGGGGGCCGCGGAGAGCCAGCGGGTTGAGATACCCCAGGCATCTGGGCAGGATGCCGGGGAGATGCGCGGGAAAGTCTGCCGGTGGCAGCCTCCCCCCCGCATCTCTGCCCCGGACGCAGCGCGCAGCCTGCTGGAGAGGGCGCCTGATGCAGCCGCTTCTGTTCCGGATGGTGACGTTGGCCGATGGCGGGGTCTGATCTCTCTTATACCTATCGGGGATGCGGAGGTGGAGGCCCTGAGGTCGTCGGCCAGAGGCGTCAAACTGAAGGCCTCGCAGGTGGCCGACGTGGACGCGAAGAGCAGGGCCAGGGAGTTTCGCGGGTGGGTGACAGCCCGAGCGGGCGCAGGTGCCGGCGGCCCGTTTTTCGTTACTGCGCCAAAAAGCTCCCTGGCTACCTCGCGCGCTCGATCGCGAGCGACCTCGCCCCCCCGTCAGATTAGCAGCGGGTGGGCGATCAATGAGCAGACGGAGATTGACCTGTTACAGCATTAGTGGCCCGGGTGGAGGCACGTAAGGAAGCGGCATGAGCATGCGAGCTGGCCGCGGATCTCGGTGAACGGCCACCTCGGCCCAGCGCAGAGCACCTGCGTAAGGTCTTCGCGACGTTCAAGAGATCTTCAGGCGCGGGGTTCGACCCCAGCAGCCCCAGACAGCTGGCGGAGTTGGGCGACGACGCCCTCGAGAGTTTCATTGATCTGATCATGGCCGTTGAGGCCTCGGCGTGTTGGCAGAGGTTCAGCACGAAGATGGCCTTTTCTGTCGAAAAGACTAGGTGGTGTTCGTCCCATTGCTTTCATGCCTGTTCTCGCTCGCGTTCAGGCTCGGCTCCGCAGGCCCCCGGCGGCGCCTTGGAATCAGGCCAACTCTGGATCGCACTTCCGGGCGCGCGCAGGAAGATCTCGCGAGAGGGCTGCGCGGCAACAAACGGCGCGGGCTGAGCGGGCCACGCGCAAGGCTCGCGTGGCTCGCAAAGGCACCCGGCGCCCAGCTCAAGCGCCCATGGATATCGCGAAGGCTCTCGAGAAGGTTCAGCAGCAGTTGCCCCCTCCAGGCCGCGTTGGAAACTGGGTTCCTCCCTCGGCAACTCCGGCTTCAAGTGCAACTCTATTATTATCTTGGGGTCCTGACATTAGGGGATGGGCGGGCTACGTCTTCTGGAGTCGGCGCTCATTCTTCCTCTGGACAGGGCCCACAGGCTCCACGGGACTGTCATGCCCATGGCAGTTGTCGACGACATGTTGATCCAACGCGTCGGCGGACGCGATCGCGTTCGTCGCGGGCTGGTTCTGGCGACGCGAGAATTGCAGCGTGACCTGGCCAAGTTTGATCTGATTGCACTCTGACAAGACCAACGCACTGCCCAATGATGCGGAGGGGCGAGTGTTGATTGCGAGGCAGCTGGTCGAACACACGGGGATTATTTCTGTCAGGCACGGACGTAACCTTGGGGTTGATGCCACGGCGGGCCAACGAATCGGTCGGCACGTTCGGAGGGAGAAAGCTCACCTGGCCCGTGGAAA